TGGTTTTTTTTTTTTTTTTTGGCATAGTCTTATTCAAGTAACATTTAAAAAGTTTTAGCACAAGCCATTCCTGACTGGTAGAGAAATGGCTGACATACAGCCAGATTGCTCTTTCCCTGAGAAAGGTACTGGGGCTTAACTAAAAGCAGTGTGGTTCTTTTCAACTGGAAATTTTTTCTTTAATGTTTTCTCAAGAATGAAGAGATTGGATATGAAAATGTGTTAATTTTGAGTGTACCCATATTTTAATGTTAGAGCCATATGTTGAATGACATTAAAAATTTAAACATACACACTGTAATCTCAACTACTGAAGAAGGTGAGGCAGGAGGCTTGCAAATTTGAGGCCACCTGGTCGATTTACCAAGATCTTGTCTTAAAAATGGCTGGGGATATAGCTCAGGGAGCACTTGCCTTTCATGGCTGAGGCCCTGTGCTCATTCTTCACTGTTGGGGGGCGGAGCCATCAAATACACTTTCAACCTTTCTTCAGGGGTTTTGAATAGCTTTTAAATATTTCTAGGATTCTCCTTTGGGTCAAATTCTTACTTACTAGCCTAAAAACATACAAAAAGGACTACAGGTATTTAAAGGGCGTAGCCATTGTTTTATGATGTAACCATTGTCCGCAGTCCATGGCTTTTTTTTTGCAGTACTGAGTATTGAACCCAGGGCCTTGTACATGTCAAGCAAGCCCCCTACCACTGAGCTGCATCCCCAGTCATGTCTCTTTTTTGAGCACCTGCTTCTCTAGGAACTTCCTGATTGGCATGGGGTGGTATTAACAATGGGAGAAAAAACACACAGCTTCTGTGTAAGGCCCAGGAGTCCAGGTAGCCAACTGGGCGAGGCTGCTGTGGCACCGTAGGGACTGGATGTCTGCTTTGGTTACTGTGGTATACTTAGCATCTTGGGGACAGAGATGAAGGTGTGACCTCAGCTACCATTTTCATATTCCATACCAGCAGAATGGAGAAGTGGCATAACCTAGCTGCCTGATCTACTTGCTGTGAGTTGTATTCTGAGACCTTAGAATGAGGTCTTATGGCCACACATAGCAGCAAAGGAAGCTGAGAAGTATAGTTTGTATTCTGGGAGGCCACATGTCCACGTGATGGCCTTCCAAGGAACAAAAGGAAAGTGGACACTGGCAAATGGTGCCCTACCCGGGGTATCCTTACTACCCTGCGGTGGGTCCTAGTCAGAGGTGCAGTGTTGCTCACTGAGCAAGGCCTACCATGGGCAGTCATGCTGAAGCTGAATTTTGAAGGGGTAATGATTAGAAAGTAGATTTGGTGAGGATAGGAGACAGAAGATTCTGCAAGAAAAGTCTTAATCACATAACCTCTGCTAACCACATGGTTTCTCTTTAAATCTGACTCCTCCACCTCCATGCATCTATACTGAATCCTCCCCTCCACCTATGCTCAAAAATACACGTGACCTAGAGATCTGCATCCCTCCTCATCCATCCCAAAGGCCCTGTCCTCACCTTTCTAGGCCTCTGTACAACTTTTATCCTAAGGCTATTTTCATCATTTCTCTTTTCTAGTATTGCATTTTCTAGCCAGGGACAGCCTTCGATCTTTCTCCAAAGTTAATAGATTAACTTTGCTGAAGGTTGATCACTCGATCCCCCACCTTTTAAGAAAACTAAGTGTCCAGGACTGCCAGGGGGCTGAAGCCTCTTGGGTTTCACTCTACCATTGAGTCATGCCTCCAGACTTCATACCCATTTCTTAAAGTTTGTGTTTACTTCTTACCTTGACAGATGCTTTCTTTGTACATTGAAAGGTTTATTAACATTCTAAGCCAAGCCGGGTATGTTTGTGCAGGTGTGTTGGTGCACTCAGGAGGCCGAGGCAGGAGGATCACCATGAGTTCAAAGCCAGCCTGGGTTACACAGTGAGTTCAAGGCCAGCCTGAACTGCATAGTGAGACCCTTCTCAAAACAACAACAAAAAACATTCTAGCCAGAGATCAGCAAATATTCTTATAGGGCTAGATAGTGAATCTGCAGGTTTCGTGGCTTCTAGCACAGCAATTCAACTCTTCTTGAGCTGCAGAGGAGCAGCTCTAGGCATTGTGAACTTGTGCCTCTGTTCATTAAAACATCTGAATTCAGGTTTGGTCAATAGTCTGTAGACTTTTTCCCTTTACTGCTGGGGACCAAACCCAGTGCCTTGTGCTTGTTAGGCAAGTGCTGTACCACTAAGCCACACCCTCAGCCCAGATCCTTTTTCCAAGCAAAGATACACCCTTACCGTTTAGCAGCACAGAAGTGGTGGAAAGTTTTGTTAAAGCAATTAGAGATTAAAATCCCCATTACTATAAAAGCAGAAAGCCACCAGTCAAGCTTGCTAAGGGAATTGTACCTCACTTACGTGTAGTGTGGGGCAGTAGCTACACCATGAAGCTCTTAGATGCTAAGGGGATAGGGCCCGTGCAACACAGGGCAAGTGTTCCATCTGAGATAGCTGTGTTATCTCCAGGATGACAGTCAGGCCTGTTCTGGGGTCCAGATAGCTATTGCTCACAGCAGTGAATACTGCAGACCTAGAGAGAGAGCATCATTCAAGATCTCTTCTAAGACTGAATTGTAAAATACCTGTGGTATTTTTAAGAGGCAAGTAGAACAGTAGCAGCCCACACTTTGTATGTGTAGCGTCTTCTCTGTTCTCTTCAGAACAAGTGTGTACAGCTCCTAGCCCCATTTTGTCTCAGACATGCAGAGGGGACCTGCTGGAATGAGGGGTCCTCTTCAGTCACTGCCCCGTCCACACTGTTACCTGCTGTCCCTTTACTGCTCCGACTGATCAACTCACTGGAACTATGCTTCCCAAAGTGAAATGATGGCCATTCTCTCTTTCCCTACTCCACTCAGTTCTGAGAATTTTCTAGGAGTACCCTAAGAAATCAGCTGGTGGAAGTGAACCCTTTGAACAGTTAACGTTTCATGCTATCTTCATATCTGAACGTTCCATTTCATAATCATGCCTTGGATTGAGTGGGCTTCTTGAGTTCCATCCGAGTGGGGAAGATGAAATTTTTTTTTGGTGCTGGCATTTGAATCCAGGGCCTTGTTTGCCTTAAGTGCACATACTGTCACTGAGCTATGCTCCCAGCCAGAAGTTTTTCACTTAAGTTTTTCCTTTTGCTTTTTTGTTTGGGGGCGGGGGGAGATTCCTACTGGTAAAATATATTGTATCTTCTATTGGATAAAGCATTGTTGCTATCAAATTCACAAGGCTAAGCGCTGGTTTTAGATCACGTGATTTAAGGAGCTTCCGGTTGCAGGAGTTGTTGGAGGGAAAATACATTTTCTCTTAAACTTATGTTCTGGCTGAACGTACGATGTTTGATAGCTTGATGAAGACAGCAGCTCTCTTGAACTCCAGTCCTCCAGAAAACAAGGAAGCAAACAAACATAATCAACTCCTAAATAACCTACCATTGTCTCTCTGTATCTTTCCCATCCTTTTCCCTTTTCTTGCTGGGGAGCCAACACATGTGCACAGTAGGCAAATGCAGTTCAACTGAGTCACACCCCAGCCCTAAAAACTACCAATTAAAAAACTGCACATTTTTCCTATAATAACTTTAACATTTAAGTTATGACAGTAAAATATTTTGACAGTTTAGAAGTATATAGAATTTAAAGTGGATTTCATAATACCATAAATAAAACTTTTACCCTTAAAATCTGCCCTCCATATCCCCTTGGGAATTCCCGACCCCTCCAATTGATTACCCCTCCGGAGGAGCAGTCCTATCCGCCACTCTCATAGATTTCCAGTTGACAAAGTGTCCATTTTTATACTATCAACTTCACATTAACGGCATTTACTATGTATTTTGATGCTACTTTATCATTAGTAATACATTTTATAAATGCATGGGTCCATTATTATTACATGTACTTTTACAAAATGTTCATAGAGTATATAAAATTCATGCTAAAACCCCAAACTGCTCACAAGGATGCAAAGAAACGTCCCTTGATAGCTTGCCCCGTACCTCTATTTCATTCCCAAGAAATAACAAGTATTTATGTTTCTTTCCAATTCACTGTAAGTGGATTTGAGTTTGGCAAGAACTAGTGGCCTTTTCGGATTAGGTTGGTCTCCCTCCCTCTCCCACCCGGAAAAATGTGAATGGACCACCTTAGTTTATAAGGCAGAGGTGCCAACGCAGCAGCTTAGGTCTTGACCCAAGAAATTGCACTGTACGACAGTGAAGGTGCTGTAGAGGAAAGAGTTTTATTTGTAGATTTTTCTTTGAAAGCTTTCATTATCACCTACCACTGTCAGCACCCTCAGGCCAGATGTGACATACATGTTACCAGGTATTACCTCCAACTCCTATTTCTATGGTCTGAGAGCTCCAAAAGCTTTCTGCTACTATCACAAAGTATCCGAGACAATTATAAAGAGAAAAGGTTAGTTTTTGGAGGCAGCACATCATGGCAGGAGCGTGTGGCAGAGCAAAGGTGCTCACTTCCTAGCTAGAGAGCAAGAGGCAGGGCGAGGCACCAGGGCCCCAGCATCCCCTTCAAGGGCAACCCTAGTGGCTTAAAGACCACTAGACCCCAACTCTTAAAAGTCCACCACCTCCCAATAACACATCCTGGGGGACCAAACCTTTTTAACATGTGGGCAGTTGAGGGATATTCAACATTGAAATTGTTGCAAAAAAAGCCTAAGTCTTCACAGCACTCCTTGCATTCAAGCTCAATTTCCCTGCCATTGGGATGTGAGCGTGGTGCCCTCAGCATTTTCACAAGTCTCTCCAAACACGCCTCCTGCTTTTCCTCACGCAGCAGCCAGCTCACATCTTTCCC